GGTAATCTGGAAGAACACATAGGCTATTCACTTTTGTTTTTTTCAATTTCACGCGAACGGAGTCGCGGGCGAAAGCTAATATGTTATAAACAGTTTGTGTTATATTCGGTTGTATAATTATTAAACAGTACACTATCGGCTTAATAGTAAACTGGCTGTAAATGGAAGATCAATTGCGTAGATTGCACGCCCAGTTTACTATAGTGAGGGAAACAGTATGGTATTTGTCGACTGGTATTGTAGTAAAGAACTATGCAGGTGTAGACCTACCGGTAGTAAAATTTTCTACATAAATAATAACTAAGAACATATTCAATTACGAATAGCACAATTACTTTACTTTACTTATAAAAAATTTGTAGAAAAAGATTTAATTATAAAAAAATTGTCCCAAAAATTAACTATTAAACGTAAAAAAAAACAACACTTTTAAAGTTGACTGTAAATGTTGAAACATGAAATTTATTCACATTCGAAATAACATTTATTTGAAGCTCGCAAGTAAATACTAATCTTTGTCACTTAACTACTGTATCATAAATAACTGTAGCTCGCGACTTAAGCGTGAAATTAAAAAATTAAAAATATAGCCTAACGGTTTTAACGGTAAAATAATTTTGAAATCGGCCCAGTAGTTTTTGAAATATTCCAATACATACAAAAATAAAAATATTTGCTGTTTATGTTTCTTTTTGCATAGATAAAAGTTACCTTTTATAACACTATAAATAATCATGTCTTCATGTCACCTCTATAACATTTTATAGATCTTCAACAAAATCCCCGTCACCATAAAAGGTGTAGCGGCTGATTATTGTTGAAGCGTGAAATGTGAATACAATGCTTATCTAATCACAAGCCGCTGGTAATTAAATGATCCAAGTGCCGCGCAGATGTCAACTGACTCACGCAACTAAGGGCCGCTGTACACGTATGCTTTAAGCAGTAGAGCAGTTGACGTATTTCCTGCAGCATTTTTAACGACATACAGTGCGTGTTTGGTGAACGTTAACTAGTATTCGAAGCTGTCGACTGATTTAAACGCGTATGTTCACCTTTACGCTTGGAATTGGATACCTCTTATTGTTTTGTCTTACAATTTATGTATAGTATAATTAAAACAGAACTTACGAGACCTAATTAATTTTGAATATTGATGAAAATTAAATTAGACGGTTTCTTCTGTGTTTAATTGAGAATTAGTTAAGGAATTCGTAGACGCTTTCTATCAAAATTTCACTGTCGTTTCTAAAAGCAACTATTTTTTTCTACCAGTTTCTACAACGATTAGCCAATTACTTTCTTAATTGGAACATAAAATACTGAATCTTGCTAGTGCAAACGCAAGCCACGTCTCTTATTTACCTTCACGTAAACCATTCGTTAACATGAAAACTTTTGTATTGTTATATGTTTTGTCAGAATTAGCAAACTATGTAGGACTGACTGATGGATATTTGGTTGGTGCTGGACGTAAGTTAAGAAAACTATGATATTCCGTCATTAATAATAATTTTAAAATCTATTAGTCGTTATTCTTCGTAATTCTTTTTTTTTCAATACAGCATTGACAGTTTAATGCCTACAACTTAAAGAAAATATACTGATTTTTTAATTGATTACTTAGCAAGGAGTTTCTTAGTCTTCACATGTCTTATTAGATCTACCTAAGTGAAAGAACTTTACGATTTTGAAAGCAAAAGTTTCATTCATATCCAATTTTTTCATCTTCTTTCATAATATTTCTTTCCACCACCTAATTAATGATGTATTTATATAGTCAACGTCCGTTTCGCTCAACTTCTCCACACGGATACAAAATATCAAGTGTTAAGAGAGGAAATGATTAAGATTAACACTCGCAACTTGGTGTACCACTGCAGGGCGGATAAGAGCGATTGCGACATGGCTCTCGCCAAAATGCGGTACAAAGCCAGCAAACATTTCTACGCTTTATCTAAGGCCGTGGTTGATTACGTTAAGAATAAACGACAGGCACGCCCTACTGGATATGTCGGTAAGTGTTAACACAATTTAAGGAAAATCAACCATAGTACTCTTAAAAGAAATACTGCACTACTCTCGGTCTTCGCTTATTATCTTTTTTATATCAACATTAATCGACGGCGGAAGAGTCGCACATAAAAAGGATAATTCCCCTTCCTAAGAGTCTCCACCACAATCAAATCCACTTTTCATTACCATCCTTTCCTCTTAAGAAAAGGGTGGAAAGGGAAAATCTAAATTTTAAACTAAATTGTAATAGTAAAAAGAATTAGGCCTCCGACACCAGACTCGTCAGACTGTACGCAGAATTGATCCCACTTCACGGCTGTCTTCTGTGTGGTCGTATTGCACTGGGCGAGACGATCAATTCATGCGAAGATGTTACACTGGTCTCTAGCACTGTCGAATCTTCCAGGAACCGCAACATTCTGCCAGGATAACATCTGCGTGCCGGACACCGATCCGCCGATCGTGTACGGTGGCTGTTTCACACTGGTCTCCTGCGGCGGAAATCAGACGTGGCATCTCGACCCGGTCGTCTACAAGAAGAAGAAGAGCAGATTCTTTTAATATTACATTTGTCTTGCATTACAAATATTAAATTTTTATTTAACCTTTCAATAATCAATAACTGAAAAGAAAAAAATAGCAAAACTTTTAGATTTTTCATATTCCTTAAATCTAAATTGTACGAAAATGTACAACGAGAAAACACCACCAGACATCCGAAATCACCGGAATAACAATCACAATGAGAGAGTGGTTGTCGTGACGTGGCTGTACAAAAAGATCATCGGCCACCTGTTCCATTGTGCCCGCAACAATGCACGGCCCGTATTGTTGCAATGAGCCGAGATAACTGCTGATAACTGAGCGAGCTTTAAAAGATCAATCCTAGACACTTTTGTCTTATTTACCGCGTGGAAACATGCCAGCTGGTTCTGAACAATGAAAATATTATTCTACCTCGTCAGTTGCTTGCTAAACTATTATGTGAATTCTGAAATACGAGGCAGCGTGATTGTGAACAAGTGAGTCATATTTTAACCAAAAGAAATGATGGTTTAGAAGTGATGATAGTATTTAAGAACCGGAGAAATAGGAACAGCAAATTCTCTCATATCCCTTTGTTGCTATTAGATTATAAATAATTTAGAAAGGGACAATATTTAACTACTAACTCTCTTGTCTTTAATGTGATTGTATTTTTAAAATATCTAATTACCATGCAGGATCCTAAGTCTTCAAGATGATTATCAACATAGGCCACGTGTTCAAACGTTTGCTCCAACATATATGGCTAGAAAACCGAAAACGGCGAAAACCAGACCATTGGATGACAAGTGAGTATACTCGTAAATCATACTAATATTATAAATGCGAAAGTTTAGATGGATGTTTGTTAGAGTTTATAGTCTAAACAGCTGAATGGATCTGGATGAAATTTGGCACAGATGTTGAACATTGTCTGGCAGAACACATAGGCTGCATCTATTAGTTTATTTTTATAAATTGACTGTGGTCAGAGTCTCGGGCAAAAGCTTTAGCAAAAGTAGGCTTTGTTTATTGTTCTTTTTTTAATTTCACGACGACATCGAGAGCAACAGCTAGTCAATGCATAAATGTACATTTAGCACTTTTAGAAATTTACAGCAAATTAAGAGGTAACATTGATAACTGTCACATACTATGTGTGGTCGATGCAACAAGTTGAATTTGTTCCGGAAAGGTCTATCATTCATCTTTTTTTTAATGATGTCATTGTTAATAACCTCAAATTTTTCAGGCTTAAAAAAGTGAAGCCAGTCGGTAACGAAGTGAAACAGAGTTTCGTTCCGTTGACGGAGATACCCCCGCCCAGCGTGCACCGGGGACACGGCCGTCGCCACATGGAGCAAGACTGCACAAAACAGCCGGAGTGGCAAGAAGTACACGGCGGTCCAAGAATAGAAATCATTGGAGATTATTACGAGGAAGATCATGCTAAGACTGTCGCTACTGTAGTTATACCGGACCACATTGATTGTAAGTTTTGGAATTCCTCTTCGTTCTTTTCTCTTTTTGTTTTATCTTCTTTCTCCAATTTTTTCTTAAGTATGCTTTGTATCTAAAGATAATTTGAAAAACCAAAAACAAGTTACGCTTAATGACTTTATAATCATTGTAAATGTAAAACGATCTTTAGTCGACGTAAAATTCTTTTTCAATTGTAGCTTCGTCTATTTTATAATAATCATACTTCATACTAATATTATAAATGCGAACGTTTAGATGGGTGGATGGATGTTTGTTAGAGTTTATCGCCAAAACGGCTATACGGATTTCAATGAAATTTGTTATAGGTGTAGAGGATAATCTGAAAAAACGCATAGGCTACTTTTATTGTTTTTTTAATTTCACGCGGATGGAGTCGCGGGCGAAAGCTAGTTAAATTTATAAACCTTTATTTCGTGTTTTTGCTAACAGATAAACATTTTGAAATAACAACTCAAATACCGTACTTAACCGTCGGTGTGATTGAGGCGATCGGTTACCATCCCAGCGTGATAAAAAGCGAGCATCCGAGTGAATGCGAGAAGATATACCAGGACCATCTAGAAGGGCAATATTCTGAGGAATCAGCGGATTATTCTGAAGAATCTATGGAGGTTGCCCGCATGCCTCTATTCCCCGGTGGAGCGATACCGGAATCGGAAGAAAGGCGACTAGAGAACATCTACAGTGATTTGGATTGATTTCTTGTTAATGTGATTTTTATATTTTTTACTTAGTCAATATATTAGGTAAATATTAATCGTCATTTGTCTTCTAACCTTCTGTATCCTTCCTTGAACGTTATATTAACTCAAACTGGTGTCAATTGGACATCACGCTTATAAATTAAATGAGAAAATGAAAAGAAAAAAAACAAATATTATATTTTAGCGATTGTAATTACTTACAGATAAAATAAGGTGCATTGTAACAAAATCACCTAAGAACTAATTTCTAATTCAGACCGGACCAGCCTGGAGATTAAATTTGGAGGGTAGTTTGACATCTTTGTCTTTATCGTCGAAAGTTTCCTCTGTTTCGTCGTCATCGAAATCGTCCATGTCCAATGGTGTTCTGAAGTAAAATAAAATTATACGTGAAATAATCATACTAATATTATAAATGCGAAAGTTAGATGGATGTTTGTTAGAGTTTCTAGCCTAAACGGCTTAACGGATTTCGATTAAATTTGACATGGATGTAGAGGACAGTCTGGAAGAACACATAAGCCACTTTTTATTTATTTTTTAATTCCACGCGGACGGAGTCCCGAGCGAAAGCTAGTCAAGTTATAAAAGGTAGTACCTTGTACCTGTAAAAATATTTCTACTTACTTATTCCAGTCAATTCTATGTCGTCTCCTGCAATCAGAATATTAAATTAAAAATCATTACTTAAAGTTACTGCATTTAAAAACCAAGGTATCGCTCTTTGCGGAACAAAGAATAATTAATCAAGTATTTTCTAAACGAATGTAGTGTAGTTTAGTAAATATAGTGTTCAAATAATATGCTTAAGAATTTTCTAGTTGCTTTTTTTTATAATATAAGGAGGCAAACGAGCAAGCGGCCACCTGAATCCACCGAAATGGAAAGCGACCGCTGCCCATAGACATCCGCAATTGCAGATGCGGTACCTACCCTTAATTGACAAAAGAGGAGACGCACATAAACAGGAATTTTCCCTTTCCTATGCGTCTCCTCCAGCGTCAAATCCACTTTTCCTACCCATTCTTTCCTCTAAAAAAAGGGTGGTAAGGGAAAGGGACTAAAATAAGGCCTCTGGCACCACACTCATCAGACGAATAAAAGCATTATTTTGTAAAAGATACTGTATCAATTTGTTTACCTAATTTATTTTCTTTTAAGGAAATATTTAATTTTATATAAACTATTGAAAAAAAATTGTTTCCATAAGGTATTATGAGATCTAACCTATTGGTAGCAATGTAATCCTGGTCCATATATTCTTCAGAAACTTCGACTGAAAGCGGTTGACCCCTATGGTCTTGTAGGATACCGAAGTAACGAGGAGCTCTGGTCACCGTGAATAGGGGACCTGATAAAAAATTAAATATATTGATTCCTTATTTCCAAGGCGACAAAAGGATAGGCGCGTGTATGGCGTGGCTTTATGTCGATTTAGCACCCGTGTATGTCCGAAGCTCTATGTTTACGATGCTACTGAATTCAAGTAGGTTGTAAAATGTGATTTTAGGATGAAATTGTTTATTCAATAGTCTAAATAAACTATGCCTATCCAAATAAGCCATGTACCAAGCAATGCACTCCATATTTCACCTTTAAAATAGATGTTGTCCGTAACTTATAAAATATGGTGTGGCTACATAGCTTCTTTAGACAAATCACAAGTATAATTTATGTTCTGTACGCATGAACAAAATATTCGCGTGTTATCGATACACGCAGGCGCTTGCTCGCTCGCGGGTAAACACGTTGCTGCTTCTAAAATATGCGCGCTAACAAGAAGTGTTGCCATCATAAGCTATTATAATAAATTCCAGACCATAAACTATTATGATTACAACCAATTAGAGATTTTTAATTATAAAGTTTCATTTCCTTTCCGCCATATTAAATTTTTGTATGTGGGGTTTTGTCACATGCTGCCATCCCTTTTATTTTCTTCGAAAAAACAAAGCCTACAGTTACTATACCAATATTATAAAGAGGAATAATTTGTATTTTTGTATGTATTCAATTAACGCTAAAACTACTAGGCCGATTTTAAAAATTCATTTACTGTATAAAAGGTAATTTACCTCCGAGTAACATAGGTCATATTTTTTAATTTCACGCGGATTGTTTTATATAAAACTTAATCTACTTTATTATTTCTCTAATTGAAATACTTACTGTCATCAACTGCTTGAAATCCTTTTAAAAATATACATAATATTATTATCACTATTTGAAGCTTCAGTTGTTTTTCACACATTTTAGTAAAGATCTTAATAACAACGATCAAATGTTCCAAGCTACTAATTCAATTAATATATTTTGTATTGGAATTAGGTCATAATTGCATAAGCAATACGTATGATGGTTTCTTCATAGAAACGACTGTAAAACTTTCGCGGTTAGTGCAACTTGCAACTTCTGTTAAAGTTTGAAAAATGTTATTGTTTATAAAACTGAGCTATTGTTCCTATTCGGTGGTACACCGTAGTGCACAATCTTATTGTGTAACAAACAAACACGTGAATACAAAATCACGATTTCGCAAACCCTATGAATGCTGCTGTAACTAAATCTTTGTACAGTCTATTTTTTTTAATAAAAAATACATAAAACTATGAATTTTATGGTCCTATATTTTAAGTAAATTCGTCTAAACCTCTACTCATATTTACTAGTTAAGAATAAAGACGCTATATTTATAATTATGTTTCGAGAAAAATTTAAATACAAATTTCGAGAAAAGATAATTCTAGAAACTTGCTTATAGAATTCTTATAATGGTAACGTAAACACTATTTCCAACAAAAAAGGTCCCATAAAAACTTATACTTAGCTAAAAATAACTGTCCAGAAAACCAACGGTATTTAGCACGAAATCTCTATCAATTATTTGATTATAATCTTTCTTATGATTGCAAATCTCTTAGATCTAGGAAAGATCTAGAAAATAAAGTTAAGATTCAGGATTGTTTTTATTTGTCATACCATTAAATAGCCTTTAAAATAAAGAGAACATCGACCACTTTCTAAGATTATGGCCCATCCATTACACAATTTTTGGCTTAGTATATCCGAAAATTGTCTACGTCAAATGTTTTAACTCTAAACTTTGCTTTTTTATTTTATTGGTGACATCAAATTAATGTTATAAATGTGAATATTTAGATGAATATGATACAGATTACAAAGTTTTTTTTTATAATTCCGCGCGAAGGAATTCGCGAGCAACAGCTTATAAACTATAGAAAAAAAACAAGACATAATTTATAAAAGTTTAATATTCTCTTAATTAAATTTATTTCAATATCAACATGGTTTTAATTCATCGTTTATTATCATTTATAGAACAAGTTTCCTTCTCCGCCCCAAAGTCTTCTCCCGCCATAACCAATAAGCTCCTGTCGCATCGCGTTGTATTTTTTAAAGAATAACTTCTTAAGAATCCTCTTGCGTCGTTTATCTTCTTTCAAACAAGATTCCAGTTTGTCCATGCACACGTCTTCCCTACAAAATTAAATACAGCATTTTCTTAGTTACGTTCTATATACCAAAGATTGATTTCAAAAAGTCTCATATGAAGATTACATTTAATCGCTAATTTTAAAGATTTGTTGTCAATATATTTTTGTGTAGATGTTTTCGCTAAATCCAATTATAATTTAATTAAAACCTAGTAGCACTTTAGCGTAGTGTTTAATTAAAATCTTACTTATAATTTTGATCCAATAATAGTTTTATTGGTTCCGTCTTGGTGTATTTGTCGGGCAGTCGGGACCCTGGAGACATTTTCGACAGCTCTTTCATTATACCCATAATTGTGTTCTCCAGTTGTGCCAATTTTGGTACCATAAGTCTTTTTATTACCTGTTTTAAAAGCATCAACACTATTTAGTATGTACACACTAGCTTTCGCCCGCGACTCCATCCGCGTGAAATTGACAAAAAATGTATAGCCTATGTGTTCTTCCAAATTGTCTTCTACATTTAAAATTTCATCGAAATTCGTTCAGCCGTTTAGGCAACAAACTCTAACAAACAAACATCTATCCATCCATCCATCCATCTAAACTTTCACATTTATAATATTAGTAAGATAAGATAGTTCAAAAAATTCAAAGATAACCTTTCCGCATTTGTTCCCCGTTTTACAAGGAGTCCTGAATTTACGTCCAAATTCCATTGTTGGTAAATTTTGAATCTGTGTTATGACATTAGTAAAAGTGCCTATTGCTGTTTTTTCACCTGTAAAAAAAGTAAACTCACGTAGTAAATGATGAAAAACAACTTTGTTATTAGGAGAAATCTTAGTTATTTTTTTACTTATTTTCAATAACTTACCCATTTTGGATTTCTTTGTTTTACCGAGTCGAGCTATGTCTGGTTTGTATTCGTCAAAACTTTTACTAACAGCAAGTAAAGAAAACAATATAAAAGAAAGTATTCGGAAATATGTTACAGGAATCATGTTTTGTACGTTTTAATTAGAGCCCATCTACGATCGCAGTGGTTTTCTCAAGTTGTATATTACTGTTAAAAGTTTACAAAACATTGTTGTTAGTCGACTAACAATCGCATTTGGGAATAGTTCGGTCACGTTTGCTAGTGTTTATAAATTTAGTAACACGATTCGACATTGTGACTTTTGGAAGCATTAAGCCTGTTACCGGAGTACAAGGAACCTACCATAGTACATTAGTTCAGAAAACAAAAATCCATTTTCCAAAGTAACGCAGTTTTTAACTGTTTTAATAGTCCTATAACAAATATTACAAACCCGTTGCACCTAAACTAACAACGACTAGATCGTGAGCCCTATTCAATATTATATCGCCCAGTCGTTATTTATTATTGCGCTAAAAATCGCCGTAAGCTATTCCAAGTCAGTGCAACTAGCTGCAAAGCATAAGCAATTCAAATAACATCTTCGGCATTTACCATTTACAATCGCGTAACATGAATCATTAGAACTACCTGAAAGCACGCAACCTATCGCTATAAACTTATAGTGAATGGTATAAACAATAATGGCGCATTATATGACCAGAACAACTAGCCAGTACTGGACCGTAAGCCTGCATTTTTTTTATTATAATAAGGTGGAAAACAAGCAAGTGGCCACATGAATCCACCGAAATGGAAAGCGACCGCTGCCCATAAACAACCGCAATTGAGGATGCGTTGCCTACCCTTAATTGACGGAGATAAAGAGGACATTTCCCCTTCCTATGCGTCTCCTCCACCGTCAAATTCACTTTTCTTTCCCTTCCTTTCCTCTTAAGAAAAGGATGGAAAGGAAAAGACACTAAAAGGCCTCCGGCACCACAATCATCAGACGAAATGCGGAATTGCTTCCACTTCACGCCTGTTTTATGTGTGGTCGTGGTATATCACCGGGCGAGCCGACCCATTCGTGCGAAGATGTTAAAGCGGGCTCTACCCAACTCTACCTCTGTTAAATTTTTGGTAGTGTCATTGTAGGTGTCTTTCGGTTTTAGAGATAACGTTTAAGTAAACATCAATTAATTTATACATACACAACTGGATATAAAAGAGACACTGTAAACGTTTTTGCTAATGGTATTAAATCTGTATCTAGAGTAAGCTAATTGAAAACAAAAATCGTTTATTTACAAAAAGTATGGAAGCGATAGATATTAATACAGCGTTACGTACAAGTTTATTTAGGCAAAGCATTTATATTATGCGTTTTTAACAAAGATGGCAACATTAAAACAAAATTGAATCTTGTCTTATCTATCCATCTATTTCTTGTTTATGGCTCGAATCTTGTCTTTGTCTTGTTAAATGTCAATGTCAGAATCGTGCCGTATTTTCAAAAAAAACCTATTTTGTTTCGTAGGTTAATTTATTTAAAGTACAATTATTCATACTGCGGTTGTGGCTAAAAACATAATTTAATTTAGTTTTTTTCTTTGAAGTTCTATGATGTTAATAGGATAGAAAGAAAAATAGAATGATAATAGAATAAAAGAGATCTCATGATTTAGGTTACTTACATTAAGAAAATGGACAAGACTGAGGATAAGACGATTTATAAACTAAATGGCCATAAAAATGGTATTATAAAGGATAACATAACTATACTAAACTTGAGCCACAGGAATATTAAGAATTTCGACGAACATATGAAATTACCGCCTAATTTGAAGGAATTGAATCTTTCACACAACAGACTCGAAAACGTACCAGAAGTAGTCACAAATCTTAAAAATATCAGAGTTCTAGATGTATCCTATAACAAAATCAAATATTTTGATGAAACACCAAGCTTCTGTCATAGCATAGAATATTTAAATATATCCAACAATGAACTACAAGGCCCACCAGCCTGGATATGGTTCGATTCACCAAAAAAACTATCTGAATTAAACATAAGTTCAAATCTTAACCTAGCTAATAGTTTCAAACATGGCTACTTTGAAGAAATAATAGAGTACAAAACAAACCTAACAGATATTAAAATACATCACTGTAGATTGAATAATTTTTTCAAACTTCTAGGAACATTTCCAAAGGCAAAATGTATTAAACTCGGTGACAATAATATAAACTATACTGCAGCTAATAATATCACCAACCTACCTTGTGAGGGCCTCATTGAAAGCTGTGATATAGAAAAATTAGACTTAACTTACACACATATATTAAATATAAAACCTAATATAGATGTGTATAGAAACTTAATAGAGATTAACTTAGCTCAAAATGAACTTATTAGTTTGCCTGATGAGTTCTGCAACTTAGAATGCTTGGAAGTATGCATATTATCGTGGAATCATCTTCTAGATTTGCCCAATAATTTCATGAAATTAAAAAAATTACATACTTTATGCTTAGATGGTAATAAGTTATGCATTCTCCCTTCCAATATATGTAGCTTACCACATCTTAAGAAATTAGATTTGTATGATAACTGTCTATATGAACTGATTGATTTAGGTAGAATTGAAGAAACAGATCTAGCTCAAAATTATCTAGATGAACCAACCGACAATGAATATACAAGTAAAAAAGAGAAATTAAGACTTCATAATATAGGACGATGGGATGGAAGGTAAATGTTACTTGTTAGAATACTTAACAAATAAGTTTATAAACCTGATTTTAAAATTGAATTAAAACATTTAATCAATTTAAAAAAATATAGCATGAAAAGTGAAAACGAAATTTCATTTCCGTTTTCGTGATAGACTCCTTATTGATTTCTAACTTGAGGATTATCAGTCAAAGGTAACATGTAAGCAACCTAACCATACTATCATACTTCATACTAATATAAATGCGAAAGTTAAGATGGATGGATGGATGGATAGATAGATGAATGTTTGTTAGAGTTTCTAGCCTAAACGGCTGAACAGATTTCAATGAAATTTTTTATAGATGAGGATAGTCAGAAAGAACATATAGGCTACTCACTTTTTTTTTAATTCCACGCGGACGGGGTCGCGGGCGGAAGCTAGTATTAAAATAAAGTCGATTGTCGGTGCCAATGGGATTTATAACCCCAGTAACAGATTTGAAACTTCAGATATTTAGGGGTTAAGTTTACAAATTTGCTTTCAGAAAACAAGAAAATGATAAAACAGAAAGTGTATACTCATCATCATCAGATTTAACAGATGATAGCTTCTATTTTCGTGATGGTGAATTATCACCACCATTAAGTAAGTATATTATTTACATCTATACTAATATTATGAAGAGGAAAGATTTGTATTTTTGTATGTATTGAAAGAACTCAAAAACTACCGCGCTGATTTCAATAATTATTTTACCGTTAGAAAGATTATTTATCTGTGGGTAACATAAGGTATTTTTTTTAATTTCACGGTCGATGTCTCGAACAACAGCTAGTTACTATATAAATAAAAAAGTTCACGCATCTATCATACTAATAATATAAATGCGAAAGTAGATGGATGGATGGATGTTTGTTAGAGTTTGTACCCTAAACCGCTGAACGCATATCAATGAAATTTGTATAGACCTAGGGGATAGCCTGAAAGAACACATAGTTTTGTTTTTTTAATTCAACGCGGACGAATTCGCGGGCTATAGCTAGTAAATACAAACATAGTAACTTATAGTGAACATAAATTTATACCTATTTTATGCTAAAATAGTTTAGTTGATTAATATTTCATTTATTTACTACTTGTACTGTTCCTTCTAAACTCTAAGATTGGTTAATAGTCGAGAATTCGAACTATCGACCCCATAATCATATCTCCATTAACCACTATTAGTACTTCTCTTATAATTATGTATATTTGATTTTTAAAGCTGACTCGGGAAAAGAAAATCGTCCACCAAGCTCTATAGAGGACTGGGATTCTGATAATTATTGGGTTCCATGCTATATCAATAAAAGTAAACCTTCACAATCACCTTGGATAAATTTCATCAAACAGAAGATGGAGGAAGGCAACTTTTGTCCTGTAGATATGCATATTGTGTCAGTCGGTGATCAGGTAGACTATGAAAAATCCATCAACCCTCAGATACAATATGAATCTGATGGACAGTTTGATGATTACTCCAGTGATGATAGCTGACCACTATTAAAACTTAACCAACTTAGTACAAAAAGATATAACATTAATATCAAAAAACATGAAGTTTTTACAACTTTTGTGTTGAAACTTTCTGTTAGTCAATTTAAAGTACAAAACTTTATTAAGTATTTCTTGATTATTTTTGTATTAGTTAGAATATATTTAACAAAACTATTGCAATGATCTGCATACAAAAAACATGCAAATCATATTAATATAACAAAAAAAAATTGGAATATCAAATATTAATGAAAAAATGATAATTACTTGTCATTAAATAGATTAAAATAAAAACTTCTTTGTGACTACGCTTAGTATCGTATTTACTTTAAGAGACATGGTGCTTATTTAAGAACCACATAATAATTTTTTTTACACTAATAAGCTTTTTGTTATGTTTTTTGTTATAAAAATTCCTTTAATTGTATCATATGCACACCCAAAACTAAACTATCGCATGATTGTTTAGACTCGCATTGATGCCAATAAGGCTATAGTCAAAATGGCGGGTGTACCATCGCGAGTTAAATTACTTAAAAAAATGTACCTGGCGTCAATATGGCGGGTGTAACTTAATTTCGTTATAATTACGTTCTAGAGAAGGTATATATTTTTTTTTGAGTAAGGTACTAAATAGTACACGTTAGGTACATTTTTTTAGTAAGTGGTTTAATTTAATTCGTGATAGTACACCCGCCATTTTGACTCTCACATATGGAGGTGCACACACTACTCAATTTTTAGTTGTACAAATAACTGTTGGCTGTGAAGCAATTCACAATCGCACAACAGTTTTACGATAGTTTAATCAAAGATGTGCGGACACTATAATAGTTACCTTATGTTTTTGTTAATGATAGTTTATGTTCTGTTTAGAAAAAAAACTTTTGGTCTTCATATTAAAAAAACTAAAAACATACATTTTCCTTACAAACATATAAGTACATATTTATTTGCATATCTAAATTGTTTATCTTAAGTTTAATCAAATAAGCAATAACTAAAACTGTTGTCAAGTTAAATGTAATGTTGTTTTTTTTAATAAAATATAGTTTATAACTTGAAAACTTTTTGCATTTCATTTAATACATCAACATGAATTTTATTTCTGTTTTCTCTAGTAACCTGAAAATGAATAATAATAATACTTTAAAAATAAAAAATTGTCAGAAGCATAATTTTTATAAAAACTGGAATACACATGCAAATGTGCCAGCTATATCAGATTTTGAGACAGCTAAATAGAGGGAAGAGCAAGAGGGATATGAAGCTTATGTCTCATATGATCTCATGAATATTTTACTGGCATATAACTGACATCCCAGCTACTGTTTCAACTTATAGGTGTGTGTATTACAACCTTTAATTATTTAGGTAGGTTTTAATAGGAAGGTGTCAATTACCTCATGTTCACAATTATATACATTGTTATTTAAAACCTTGTGTCGGAGGCCAAGACCCACTTTGGGTTGATGCGCCAATGCAGTAAGTAAGTTATTTAAAAAAAAAGAATTTCTATTGCTATCATTAGGGTTGTGAGAATTTTTAACACATAAAGGACTGAAACTTTAAGATGTGTCTTTAAAATAGTATTAGAAAAGATATTTCAAAGTAATAAACTTCAACTTACCATCCATAATTTTGTTTTACTATTATTTCTTATAGATTCGATAATTGCATCTCCTCTCCTTATTGGTATAGTTGCTAAAACTGTATAGTTTGATATAGGATTAAAGATTTCTTTAATTTTTAATTTAAAGGAGTTACTGAAGAATTCCATTTTCCCTATTTCATCTATTATCAAACATGTCTGATTGTCTAACACCTGAAATTAATTTTTACTACATTAATACTATAAATATTTTAACTAAAAATGTATAAAATTGCTTGCAAACTAGAATAATTTTACCTTCATTTACCTTTGAAAGACATGGCAGAGCAACTTGTTCAAATTCTTCCACAAGAACACCATATTTACCGACTTTAAACTTCGCGGGTACATTTAATAGACTCTGCTCTCTAGCTAATCTACCCCTCTTCCCTTCGAAAGAAATAGCGTCAAAGCCTTCTCTGACCCGATTGTTTCTGACTTCTTCTGTGTAAAAACCATGTACTTTAACACCACTCTCGGAAAGCATGGATGATATCTTCTTTGTTAGTGTCGTTTTTCCTACACCTAAAAACACATTAAACGTGAAGAAACACTTATCCACTAACTTTTAACCAATTGTATGCATTTAGTCTCTAGTAGAAAGTAAATACCTAACCAGGATCTCCAGTAAGAATGAAGAATTTTATATTATTGTGTGCCATTACGCAATTAACTTAACTATACGCTTACTACAAATAACGTAATAACAAGGTTATTAACAATGTAAGTTTTGTTTTACAAAATGAAAATAAAACAGATTTAAACAGTAACAATAACAAACGATTGCCAGCTGACAGAGAACAGACAGATCACCAGTGTTGCCAGTAGACGTGAGTCGTTACGTAATTTTTTAAAAAACGTAACGAAACCAGTAATTTCGGTGTCAATAGTGATTTTTGTAACTAGTTATTCCCATTGCAAAAATAATACTCAATCAAAATAAATCCTCTGTTATATATGTAAAATGATTATAATTTGTCATTTTCCTTGCCTTTTTAAATGATTAAGCTTTCTATCTGATGCTCTTATTATTTTTAATTTTGATTATGTTCGTAGGATCACTAACTATAAGACGATCTTACTAAAACGCGTTTTATTTTCCTACCTGTAAAATTCTAGTTTTTTGCAGATTAAAAGTCTAATCCTAACAATATAGACTGTATTAAGTAAATGAACTATACTACATAACATTCTAACTTTCTATTACATATATAGGTTGAAAAATTATTGGTTATTTTTTATAAAAAAAGAGGAAAATCCGTAAAATTTTAAAACAAACATTTACAACTATCAAATATATAATCATACTAACTTGCACGACACAAAAATTAATCAAACATAGGCAATATACACAGTTTAAAAATTCGGCGTTTAATTAAAGGACCATTATATGTTGAACGACGAACGACCGACCTCATTTACAAAACCGAATAACGCATTTACAAAAATCTCTACGTCGAAACCGAGGTCTCCTGATCAACTCATTTCATAAATCACGACTTCGAAGCCGAACACGCTAGAGTAACGTAGTTACACTTTCGTAACTCAACGTATCACTACTTTAAATTTGACTCGAAACTAGTGATGCCGTTACATATCTCGTCGTAGGTGATAGGCAACATTGGATCAAACGTCAGTTTTTCAATCATCGTCGCCTCCTCTTATCATTTTTATCAATTTGATCATTGTATCAAAGTTCACAACTCGTATGTTGTAACTTTTAAGTATTTTTACTTTGATATACCTTTTAATTTTGTATCTCAAACGTTTACTTTTTTTAAAATAATAAGAAATGGCGTCGGTAGGTCTAGTATCTCGAGTTCTTTTAAGCAAAAATGTAATCACCACCGGCCGGTTTGCTACTCTCTCAAATACAGGTTTTATTAAGTTCTATAGCACAGGTACGTTCATCGTTTTTTTTTTAAACTTAAACTTTGGTTAGGAAATGTTAAACTTTAAAAAGGTGCAAGATGAGACAAAAAGCAAAAGAAGAGGCTTTTTTATTTTATTGTTATTAGTAAAATCCTTTTTTTAGAGGAATCTTAACCATTTTATAAGTGTTTGCTTTTCCCTCCCATGTTGGCCTCAAGCAAGAATCAAACCTTTGTAATACTTAGAACTTACATCAACAACTGCTTTAAACTAACAAAAGCTGGAATATTCTTACGGTATAAAATCTTCATATTTATTTCGACAATAGTGTTTATTGTAACTGTTTATTGCTTAAATGATGTTTGATAAACTTTGCCATTTTATAGTGTCACCTTCCAAGCAATTTCAATGCAAAATAAAATAATGAAATAATTTAATTTTTACATTGTATGCTAATGAGTTCTAATCACATAAGAATTGTTTTATATAAGGTCATAAGAAACATCATTTTTTGTCTAAATATCTTTTAAGAGATAAATGTACAACAATAGCATGACCTCCAGCAATGAAGAAATAAAGAAAATAAATGTTTTCTTTGCAAATAAAGTTATAAAAAGCATCTTTAGAGTAAAAATTCATGTTTAGTCTTTGAGTAAGTTGAAAAAAATGGTTTTTAGGTTAAAAATGTTGTAATCAACTATTATATTAATAGTATTATGTAATACCAGAATGATTAAAGACATTTATCAACCTTGACTTCTTCAAACATTGCCTTATCTCGTTATCTCAAGTAACAGTCAAAAACATTTCACTCATTATGTTATCAGTATAAATACAGAATTAGGGGCATGGAGAATAGTTAAATGTACAATTTTTAATGTAAATTATTAAATCTGCAACACAATCTCTTAGTGCATCTGCGACTGATTTACGCACACACAGACCCATTGGAATCATTAAAGTGCGGTTGATGCTCCTGAGATATTCTAAATAGGTATAAACTATTTGAAAATAAGACCAGCTGCCTCCTACACTTATTTTGATCATTAGCTAGCGAGGCCCATGCACAATAAAGTGGTGCTCAGGCATTTTGCAGACTTGCTCCCTACAGTACTCATATCAAGGTTGAACTCAAGTGGTTTACAATAGACCATCTGAATATTCAGGTCTCCTGCTAAAAGTTAATAACTACCGTCTAGTCGTTATTGCAATTTGTCACATTTTTCAACAATATACAATTGTGTGAAAATAACTCTGATATCAACTATTTAAAATTCACAAAAACTGTCAAGTTTTTTGTCAAAAAAATAAACAAATAATTAATAACTTTGCAACACTTTCTGTTGATTTCAATTGAATATAGTTTACTAAGACGTTAAGAAACGCACTTGTGTGAAGGTATTTTGAAAATAGATTTTAAAATCACAATGTTGTCATCAAAAGAATTATTGTTACCAGGTAAAATGAAAAAATACAGCGCTTTTTTGCAATACAAAGTTTCTTCATTCATTTCACAAGAATAGTTTTAATTTCTTGATCAATAAAATACTGTTAGAAAATCACTTTTTATATAACGTTGAAGACGCTCATATTTTTTATGTCACAAAACATGCCCCAAATATGCAAATTTTTCCTTTTTGATGGTTTGCAACAATTCTCGTTTTTTGCCAACCCGTTTTAGTACCCGCTCAATTGAAATCTTTTCTGTCCGGCTTATTTGTAGCATTCTACAGTAGCACCATGTCTCAAAAGCTTCCAGAGACTTCTGGGTGTTAGTTTTCAGTGTCCAGCTCTAAAGATTAGCAATATTAAAAAATAAATTTCAGCATTTTACTTTTATTCTACAATGTATACTATATTTCAAATTGTATATTACATTTTAACATGTATATTACGTTAATTTTACATTGTACATTTCTCCAGCACCGCAATATGAAAACATCAAGGTAGATGTAGTGGGAAGCAAGAAGAATGTCGGTCTTATCCAGTTAAACAGACCGAAAGCTTTGAACGCGCTCTGCAAGCCACTATTTGTGGAGCTCGGAAAAGCAGTCAATGAGTTTGACGCCGACCAGAGCATTGCCGCCATTATTATTACTGGTTTGTATGGATTACATAAATTAAATTTTGGATTACAAAAAGGCAACATTAATGAAAATCAACTAATTAATATGTTTATACAGAATTAGAGTTGTACAAAAAACGGCCCCATTACATTGTGAGCAGCGTCTCATGGGAAGTTAAAAGTCGCAACAATGTTTGGCATTATGCAAATTAGTCTAATTAATATAATTAAAGGTAACGAGAAGGCGTTCGCTGCTGGCGCGGACATCAAGGAGATGCAGAACAACACATACAGTTCCAATACTAAGGACGGCTTCCTCAAGGAGTGGGAGGACATCTCTAACTGCGGCAAGCCTGTCATTGCTGCGGTTAATGGATTCGCTGTTAGTATTTTAACCAATTAATATAATTGTAACAACCTAATTAACTAAAACAGAATGGCGCGCAATTCTAATACGTCTTAATGACATTGACAGATGTCATAGGGATGGGACGTATATGCTAAAAATCTAGTGTTTAGCAATTCCTCCAACAACTTTCATCTTAACTGTAGATCAGAAAATCACTAACTATTTTTCGTCGTGGTTTATTTCAAGGTTTAACTGTTTTCAGTAGATCCTCGTCAATTATTTAAATTAATAAAAATAGGACACATGAAACGTTCAACATTAAAAGCATATATGGGCTAGTTTAGAACTAGTTAAAATATACATGGACCCCGCATTTTCCCTTGTAAACTTCTAAGGGGCGGCCTGTACCACTTTGAAAACCACTCCTATTTACTGTAGTCACTCACTATTTTAAGATTCAAACGATAGAACATTATTTTTTATATCAGCTCGGTGGTGGTTGCGAATTGGCGATGCTCTGCGATATAATCTACGCGGGTGAGAAGGCGAAGTTCGGTCAGCCGGAGATCAACATCGGCACGATCCCCGGCGCGGGCGGCACTCAGCGCCTGCCGCGGTACGTCGGCAAATCCAAGGCTATGGAGATCGTGCTCACGGGAAACTTCATAGACGCACAGGAGGCTGAGAAGATGGGTAAGATTCCATTTTCGAAAAGGACGATAACGCATCTGTAGTTCCCCTGATGTTGCGGATGTCCTTGGGCGTCGTTGACCACATCTGTGTCCCCGCAGCTCATTATCTCCCCTTTATTATAAAAAAAAGAACCCAGCCAACTATAGTACTTTTTTTTACGTTTTTTGCAAATTTTGTTTTGTAGGTAATATTTTTTTGCGTATTCGTAATAATTTTTGGGTAATTCCTACGCGAAAGTAAACGCTAAGCCTTTTTGATAATGGATTTTTTGCATATTGTTGTAGATGCATGAATAAGTTCTATTAAAAATAGCGTAATCGTATTTTGTTCCAGGTCTGGTCAGCAAAGTTTTCCCAGTTGACAAACTGTTAGAGGAAACAATCAAACTGGCGGAGAGGATCGGCACACACTCCCCGCTCATCGTGAAGATGGCCAAGCAGTCAGTCAACCAGGCCTACGAGACCACTCTTAAATCCGGTCTACTCTTTGAGAAGTCCATATTCTATGGCACTTTTGCTACGGTATGTAAATAAAGTTGCCATTCAAAAATTAATTAAATCAAAGTCAAAAGTAGCTAAACGGTTGTTTTCTCACTGAAATACCAGGGAAACCGTTAAACATTTTGTATGTGCATTTATTGGACACTATTTCAGCTGCCAAAGTATAAAATGTGATTATTTTTGTAATTTTCATTGTTTTCTTTTGCTTGCAGGAGGACCGCAAAGAAGGTATGACTGCCTTTATCGACAAGAGATCACCTAACTTCAAGAACGAATAAAAAATACATTTGTGCGTTTAAAATGTTGAATGAGACAGCTAAGGGAAAATGTTATTTGTTTTACAATTTTTATATATATTTTATAATGGAGTCAAACTGCCAATATACATTCTATTTTTAAGCTGATTGTTTTTTTTTACGTTTCTCCCCTTCTACCAAACTTCAAAACTACAACTTAGAAAAAGGAGTAAGTTTTTGTCATTGATCTAGATACCATAATCCAAGAAAAAATATGCCTCGCACCCAGATTTCCTTGCACTTGCTCATTCCTCAACTTTTTCTATTAAAAAGTTAACTTATTAATTTAATGCAGGATGTACGTATAAATATATTTCACTGGGCTAAGATTTAGCAATTTTTTTTGTTTTATTAGTTAACTAGGGAATTCTGGAAAACGAAACATTTTTGATTTTGACATCTGTCAATGAATAAATGACAAGCATCAACAATTGTGAAACGGGATGAATATGTCATTACCTTGAGTCAATATTATACACAAGAGGGTAGTAATATAAATATAATAGTTGTTATAATAAGTGAATAATAAATGTTGTTAAAAACGATTACTTAAAAAATTTAATAGATTAAAGAAATAGTTGTTGGTAAAAAGTTGTTGAGATTATCAACAAAGCAAAGGTGTTAGTTTTTTTTTCTTATTACGTTCAATTATTCGTGTATTGTTACATGGAGTATTGAATACTTCAATGAGAATGCATTATAGATAACTTATATTGAGGAAACATTAAGATTATTGTTTATGAATTGAGAAATAAGTGCTTAAAACGTTATCCATGTTTTGGGATCATGTGTACCGTAATAAACACATTATGCAGGAGTTTGAAGATTTAGAAATACATAAAACCAGTGTTCCTGTATTTTTGGCGCTTTTCTATCTTGAAATGCTGTATATTTTGATCATGACATTGTCCATTCTATGTCAACTGAACAGAAACTCTTCTTTATAACTTTTCATACATATTACAAACCAGTGACATTAGTAATGTAAGTATTTAAATATATGGTGTCTTTTATGCCAGGTGTTTTTAAACAAAACTGCAAAGTAGAAAGTAAATCAGCACTTAACCGGTCCAACAAATCAGGTCTTGAACTGCTGACCTGTAGCACTACAACTAAGTCAACAGCTCAGCGTTCAACACTATAGACTATAATTAAGGCCATCAATTTTAATTCAGCTTCCCACAACTATTGTATAGTACTAACAAAACTGCACTTGACAACAACTTTGTACAAATGCACTGTATTATGGTTATAATTCACAACTTTAGACAGCAATATCAAAGTTACTAAGGCTCATTAGTATTGATTTAACACAAGAAATCATCACTAAGTGATCACATAAACATTAAGCTGAATATTTCAAAATTTTACTTGAAATCAAAAAAATATACCATTTTTATTGTAACATCACATCTTATTGTTTGAAGCACTATTTTTTAACCTAGAATTTGCTTATAGCGAAGTGATTTTGCCCATGTATATCTATCTAGATATGTAGATGCTGTGCACTATACCTACCTTTAATCACCTTTGCCAATTAAAGTTACCAGATTGTAAGACAATATTTCCCTTCTATGTCAAACCTCCCCTTCCTATCACTTATAAGGGTAGAAGACTAAAATTTTACCTCTGACACTCATCAGATGAAACGAAAAATTCAACTGGAGTTCATCTATCTAGTTAGTTGCTATTCAAAATTTTAGTCTTGTTCTTTATACTTTCAATTATCTTCCACCTAGATGTTAAAAAATCATCGAAATAACAATGGCACCCATCATTCGTAAAGAGATAGAGGGAAAATTACTTCCACTTCTCACCTGCTTTGTGTTGTGGTATTGCACCCTATAAGCAGATTCATGCAATAGTTGTTATTGCTAGTTCTAACTCTTAAATCATATGTTGTATATCATATCAATATTATAAATGCGAAAGATGCGAACTCTATGAAATTTGGCACAGGTTTTAGAGCATAATCTGGAAAAACACATAGGCTACTTTTTATCCCGGGAATAGCTTTGGTTCCCATGGGATTCATTAATTTACTTTTTTAATGTTTACTCAATCATTCTGCAATGGTTCAACATATCTTATTGAAATTTGGCACAGAAATAAAACAAAGTCTGGAGTACACATGGGGTAAGGTTCATCCCCGAGAAATATCCGGTTCCCGAGGGATACGTAGCTTTTTGTTAATACCACGCGGATGAAGTCTCGGGCAACAGCTATTTTGCATTATAATTGATTTTCGTTACTTTCGTTTACTTTGATACGTTACGTTTGAAAAATTAATGTTTTATTATTTTTCAGATAAAAGGAGCTTTAAAATGACTTGTATAAGAAAACCAGTAAAAGAACGATTATATCTTGATAGAGAGGGACAGAGAGATGTGTATGTAGACACCTTCCATCTCGCTCAGCATCAAATTGAAGGCATAAGATTCCTGTACCGACGATATACAAATGTAATGTATCTTACTATTATAAATGTGAAAGTTTAGATGTATGGATGTTTGTTAGAGTTAGGCTAAACTGCCTAATGGATCTTGATGAAATTTGACATAGACAAGAGGATTGTTTGGAAGAACACAGACTACTCACTTTTTTTTACGAACGAACGAACGCAAGTATAATAAATTTCTTTGGATGGATGACAATTAAAACTGTCCAGTTAACATGTTTAGTCGTAATTTTAACTGTCTGCAAAATTATACTGTAACACCCTTACAATTAAATGCGGTATAAAGTTTAAGATATAAAATTTGTACTTATATTTGCTTATACTCAGTTTATTCCTAAGTGTAACTTTATACCACATGCGGGTTGAGCAGGAGACATATCAGATCAGCGCTGAGACTTCGTTCTGGCCACTATCCAACAGTGAGTTTTGGATATCTGATGAGGAAAACCCTGTCGCCCAATTGTGGGACATGCAGAAAACCAGAAGATATCCAACACTTGTTGGAATGTGAGTGAAATAGAATGTGTGAGCTACTATTTCAGGAGTTGAAGCTCAACCTGGCTGATGTAGACATTATATCTCTACTGGCTGAGCCTACTACCGATATACCGTTTCATAATCATTAAGAGCACTATGGGATTGGCGTGTCTTTTAAAGACAAAAATCCCCCCTTCCTTTTAAGGAATCTCTTTAGAGATTAAAACAATTCTTTATACCATATTTATTTTTAAGGCTGTTGAAGTTTTGCCTATATTAAACTATTCTGTTAGGTTAGGTTAGTTAATATGTAGATTACAATATGAATCTTCACCATTAATTTATTTAAATTTTGACACAATATTAACAATTTATATTTTTATTTACAGAAAAAGCCAGGTGTAATAATAAACAATCCCGAAGGTTATGGTAAATCTATACAAGTTGCTCTATTCCTGGATTCAATACGCGAATTGCTAACTAATCCCGTTTTAATATTGTGCGAGGATGAGAATAAAATAAACAATTGGAAACAAACTTTATTAAAATGGACAAAATATACAGAAGGTAAGTTAAAATTAGACCTTTCATAACTATGCTTCTCTAGTTTATCAGGTTTTTTTAAATTCCATTGTTTCATCATCATCATCACCAGCTCACTATACGTCCCCACCGAGGGGCTCAGAGCCTACCCTAAGTGAGGGTGACTAGGCCATAGTCAACCACCCTGGCCCACTGCGGGTTGGTTGACTTCACACATATCTTTAAATTTCTTCGCCGATATATGCAGGTTGCATCATGATGTTTTCCTTCATCGTAAGAACATCGAGTAAATTATGTACATATGAAAATTCGAAAAATCGAAAATCACATTGGTATATGGCGGGATTCGAACCCAAGACCTGTAGATTACAAGTCAAGTGTTTAAACGACTTAGCCACATGTGTATGCCACTGTGGTATTTTTAGTGACATTGTTTAATGGTCACTAAAAATACCACACCTCTTTCCTATACTATTTGTTCCATATTTTGACATTTCTCAAATATATGCCCTATAATTTTTATCATTTCTACATGTCTATGGTCAGGTCGTTTCGCCATTTTGTCAAATTCAAGTGGCCTTTGCTCGTTTGCTATCTTATGTTTTAAAAAAAAATTAATGTGCATGCAATGCATTCTCATATGCAGAATCGTTTTTATTATATTTTTCAGAAGATTTAGTAGTTGATTCTACCAACGTGTATGTTAGGAAAAAAATATTTCTTAAGAAAGGCATGAGTTTGGTTGCACCATACTCCCGCAGAGATTGGGGTGTAGTGGTCGTGAAAAGTGACTTTATTCTCAAGCAACTTGTTAATACACCGGTCAAGGCCACATTTAAGATCTGGTTGACTACAATAGATGTGCAAGTAAGTATGATTTTAAATAATTTTTGGAGTAGAGTAATTTTTTAGTTTACACTTTCACTGCTGACTGGTCTTGCAAATTTACTTTTACTAACAAATTAATTGACTGGAATTAAAAAAAATAATTGCTTCTTGCTAATATTAAAAATGAGAATGTTTAGATGGATGAATAAAAGTTTGAGTTTGTAGACTAAATGGCTGAACGAATCTCGATGAAATTTGTTATAGCTAGAGGATATCCTGCAAGAACACACAAGCTACTGACTTTTGTTCTTTATTCCCACTTGGACGAAGTCGCGGGCAAAAGCTAGTTACTATATAAATTTAATAAAAACAGCTTTCATGAAAAAAAATTTCGTTATCATAAAAATAATGTTATTGTTGATATATTTTTAATTTGTAATTTTTTTTTTTTTAATTTCAGAAAGATCTAGAAATGTTCAACTCAATCTATTGCTGGCTGTACTCGGAAAAAAAGTTCGACATTAATACATATATTGATTCGATATCAGATATTATTGGTGTGCCACTGGTTCGGGAAAAACTAATGAAATCATTTATGGAAGATATTGTTATTATTAAGAATGATTTTACACCTTCAAAGAAACCAGAGGTACCTTTTATACATTGCCTGATTATTTTTAATAAAATTCATTGAATGTTAAATTGTTTATTAAATTAACAATTCTCGTAATAAAATTTCAGCAGATACAAGAAAAATCACCGCCGAAAACTAATAAGTCAAAGAAAAATAAAGATGTTACCGGTAAAAAAATAAAACGTTCGAAAACCACAGAAGAATCAGAAGTTGCCAGTGATAATGATATTAATTCTTTTGATTTAGTCGCGAATTCTAAAGAAAATATCGAAAATGTACAAATAGTTGCCAATAATAGTGAGGATGCAATTTTAGATGTTGAAAATTTTATAAAACAAAAAGAACCGGTTATATGTGAAGAATATGAATTTCTGGACGAAAGTAGTTCATCAGATGCAGATATGAGCTTTACTAACGCATTGAATGATGTCATAGAGACTGAGAATGATGTGATTGGTATGCATTCAGAAACAGACGATGAAGTAAATATTTTTAAAGAGAAAATTAATACAATTATTAGAAATACAGATGATAATTCTGTACCAGTGTCACCTAAAACTGCATCCAGTAATACAGATAAATGTATAGATGCAAAAACGGCGGAATTGAGAAAAAATAAAAGAGATATAATTCAAGCCATCACAGAAATGGAGGAACGGGCAATGAAAAAATTTAAAAATACAATTCTAGACAGTTTCTTCTAGAAATGTTTAATACACAAATTGCATCATGAGACATTATTTGTTTTTCTTTATACTTATAAAGATTATGCAAGTTAATTGCCAGTGTTGATTGCAACCAACCTCTTTAGAGGTAAATGAAGTCTTCAAAAACTTTTTAATTAAGTTTATTGTGATCAGTGTTGCCAATAAAAACGCTTACCCGGTTGTGTACATCGTGTAAAAATGCCGTATATGAATTGAAAAGACCATTGGTGGGCTGTAATACCATAAGGAAAATTTTTCAACGTTAGTAGGTAAATGTTACTATTTTAAATTGTTTAATATCAATGAACTGTAGTAAAATTGTCCCTGCGTTGTTTTGTAAAATGGTAAATGATTTATTTAAATTTCAGTATTACCGGTACAAGTAATAACTAAGTAACGCATTTTTTTTATTCACAAGCTATTTATTGTTTATTTTTAGAATGAATTAATTTATTAAAAAAAATTTTGATTGTAGATCTTTGAAAAGCCGTAGAATCTGAAGCCTTAGGGTTGCGGCCATAAGCTGTAGATTTTGTAATTTGATAGCCCAAAAACCGTCGACCACGGCAATTGCCGTAGCATTGGCAACACTGATTGTGATTGAGTTATGTTGTATGTCACATGACGAATCATTCAATTTGACATTTCGTTCATTCATTATTTACACTTCTAATTATTTTTCTTTTTTCTTAATGAATTTTCTTTGTAGGCTTAAGCATTTGTTCGGATATATTGATATGAAATGTACATTGTCTTGTTTCTTTGCAGAAACTTTAAATTTTTGTCAGTTTCTTATATGAAATGTTTAGTATGTTCGTGTATGCGTGTTTGTTTAGAATAAAAATGTGCTTTCGTTGTCATTATGTAATTTAGTACATTGTATATAAGATTTTTTTCGTAATAATCATGAATTATATGATTTTATTTGAAATACCTTCCATTTATATTAATATTCACTTTGTATGTTATGATTTCGTTACTATTTTTAAATAAATTATAAAACTTATTTATTATTTTTATTTACTATCCCTAATCCTACCTACTGTTAGGAACAAAATTAGTACCGTGCTATAGAATTGGCGCAACTCTAATTATCGGCATAAACGTCACGTCCCTAGCTGACAGCTGTCAATGTCACTAGAAGTATGGATAGATTGGCGCGCATTCTGAGTCTGGCGAGAAGTATTGCTCTGAGTTTAAAGCGACAGTATCAATTAAATAAGTTGTCTAATATTACTTAAATTATTAAGAATATTGAAACAATAAAATAAAACAAAATCAAATCGATAACATTTATTTATATCACATTGCAAAGCTCTACAAAGTCAAAATGTATAAAACAAAGATTTCGAAGTACATAGATTAAGTACACAAGTAATTTTAAATATAGTGTAAAATAAATTCCTTCAATTATCACATTTATGTACAGATAAAGAAAAAAATCGTCGATATCTATTAAAAAATAAAGCTTTAGAAATGTCAACATGGTATCACAATAAATATTTTTCTACTTTTGAACAAAAAAAAACTCGTACATTTCTCTGTACTTAATATTGCAGTTTCTTTTTAAAACTTTGAATAAACAGTATAGAAAAAGCATTTTATTCTAAAATCGTTATTTTGTACTAACAAACTTTAAAATCTCTTATTTATTACAAATTCTCTTTTCAATAGGATTAAAAGTGCGAAGATGTATGATTAAATATTTTAATTCAAGAATAAATATGGGTTTAGATATATTAGATTGTATTTTGTACTCTGTAAGTCAAGCATTAATTTACAACCATCTAACAAGCATTTAAAACACACTTAAAATTATAGGAATAGAGCACCTCGTTTGTCTTTCACTTTAAAAAAGTTTCGTTTGAGCAAGGCGATCGCTTCCAGTCGCCATCTTGTTTTCGGCTGTCTATGGTGTAAATGCTAGGGATGTAGGTGTAAGTACTCAGCTACGAACACTCGGAAGATTTTATTAAGATTGTCTATGGTGTTGAAATCTAACGCGGACATGTCGTCATCAGCGGTGTGCCAAACGCTCGGGAACGGATTGGGTATTACGTGAACCACGTTTACATCTGAAAAATAAGACCATTAGACAGTTTTACTCAAAAATACTCCACTAAAAGGCTTAGTTGATACAGGTACAGTCAGATGCAAAATATGACATTTAGAAAACTTGTTAACGTTTCAAAAATAAGTAGACGCGTATTTGTAATACAAATAACCCGAAAAATACGGACAGACACATATGTCATGACAAATTAATTTAAAATTAAAAAAAAAAACTTAAGAATCATTCTTAGATAAGTTACCTTAAAATTAAATCAATCTTACAGTCTAACTATACATAATTTTGTACGGGAATAAACATTGTTTTAACTTTCTTCATACTTGTAATTGATTATAAAAATAAATGCATACATGTTTGCAATAAAGGCGCATAATAGTTTCCGATGTTATTTTATAAATATTTTTGCAGCTGATGGTAAAGGGAGTACTCCCCTAGGAGTAAGACCCTAACTACACACCTACGCACTTTCTTCCCTATTTCACTGCAATCGGTTATATATTTACCTTTTATTAAGAACTGTATACAGAAAGTTAACCTTTGAAAATGAAACCCACAGGTTATTCCCCGAAGAAAACTGGGACTTGTACAGTATTCAATAAAACTTTGTAAATGTTGGATTTTCTAATTTTATTGCGAAGCATAGAGCTTTTATAGTTCCGAGAATAATCTTTTCAATTTACACTTAGATTATAATTGCCAGTGTGTATTAATCCTATCGGATTTTTTTTAGCCCGCTGCCCATAGACATCCGCGATCGTAGATGCGTTGCCTACCCTTGTACGCCGGAGGAGGAGACGCACATAAAGTGGATATTTCCCCTTCATATGCTTCTCCTCCGCCGTCAAATCCACTTCCCTTCCCATCCCCTCCTTATAAGAAAAGGGTGGTAAAGAGAAAGGGACTTAAATGAGGCCTCCGGCACCACATTCATCAGACGAAATACGGAATTGCTTCCATTTAACGCCTGTCTTCTGTGTGGTCGTGGTATTACTGGGGGCGTGCCGGCCCTGCACTGCTAAGATGTTAAAGCGGGCACTACCACTGTTAAACGATCTAACTTTACAGTTCAAGTGACAGTTTTGCCTACACGAGCACCGTTTTAACTGAACTGTTCAACTGTCTAGTTAAATTGAGCGGATCTAACGGGCTTTCTAAACATTAAATTTTAGGAATTCTGATTTTACAATTACATCAAGTTAAATTAATAAACTATTTTTTGTAAGTTTTTGCTTGATGCTTTATTAGCCTTAAGTCATGTTTCTATATAGATTTGCAATGATAGAAAAAGTGCAAATAACGCGTAAAATCGTCCTTATCGCGGTTATCAATAACATGGTATATCTGAGGAGAATCGGTATTGATCGATTTTCTCTTGTTACTGTATACACGATATTTATACACGTTTCATCGTTAAAAAATATAAATTGATTCTTACGTATATTATGTGAAACTGTTACGTCATAATCGTAGAACTTTACATGTAAAAAACTTATATCTGAGTGACTTCCTAAATCACTATAAAAGATGAAATGTATATATTTTTGATTTCAAACTTATGGTTTTCATGGTCGGTCTTTGTAAAATAAAATCTCAAAATTTAGGCAAAGAAAAACAATTATCTGACATTATTCAAATTTCCGCCAACTAACGCATGTGTTACTACTGTTTTATGACTGACAATTTAGGTTATTTTCATAGAAATTCTCTCCTAATCGGCTGAACGAATCTCGCTGAAATTTGGCATAAATATAGAACAATCTGGAAAAACGTAACCTACTAATTATTATTTAATTTCGGACGGATTCGAACACAACTAGCCGATACTAGTCTTGGGCTTAATCGGACATCTGCGAGTGCGCACCGTACTAGTACAATTGGGAAAACGTACTAGTACACACGTTTAGTACCTTTAGTACTTCACATTTGTGAGAACACAATACATGAATAGAATAGAACGACTGTTATATATTACTTCACATCAAATTTTAAGCAGGGTCGAACATATGTTATTAGCGAAAATAAATTTAGTGATAAATAATTTTATCCACTTTTGATTCTCATTATCGAAGGTGGATGCTTCAATCTAGCAAATATTCAATCAAATCAAACAACGAAGAGACGAACACTGATATCGTGAATTGTACTAAAAGTACTAAATGTCCGATTGACAGAAGCCGTTGGGTAACGTTACTTCTAGTACAGTGCCGAGTAACATTACTTTTTAGTACATCGTACGTGTACTATCCAAGACTAGCCGATACTCGATAAGTAGGATACTCAGTTTAGGTCGAATCGTAGTAAAGCGCTGGTTAATCTTACTAATCTTACTAATATTATAAATGCGAAAGTTTAGATGGATGGGTGGATGTTTGTGACAGTTTGTAACCTAAACAGCTCAACGGGTATCGATAAAATTTGGCATAGATGTAGACGACAGTCTGCAAGAACACATAGGCTACTTACTTTTGTTTTTTTAATACCACACCGACGGAGTCACAAGCGAATGCTAGTTTATGATAAAAAAAAGTAATCTTATAACTCACTTCTCTTCAAGAACGGTACATGATCATCATCAATGAAGGCACCGGAGCTCCTCAACCTGAAGTACGTCTGTTCCTCCTTCCCTACGGAGTACGCGCTGAGCTGGCCCAGCTCCGCCAGCCGCTGCTCAGCGCCAGCTAACCGCACGTACCATTTCTCCGTCGCCTGGAAGTAGCTGTAGAACACCGGGTCCGGGCACCCCAGCAAATCCAGGAGAACTAGAACATCCTAAAACCAGAGATCTTGTTAAATTGGATATAATGACAGAGGAACACACTAAACACCAGTACATCTTGACACATCTCGGGGGTATTGTTAAATTTGTCACATAAATGGTACCAGTGAATAAAACCAGTAATCCTTGAGACGGTTTGAGGTTCTTTATAAATTTGTTATTTTCATACGATTGACGACTAATATGTTGTCAACCAGTATAGTGTGACACATGTGAGGTCTTGTAATACGTGCAACCTTGCATAACCTCCTATAAAGGTTTCGGCACTTATATGTCCACGGTCACATGAACGTTATTATTTCAGATAATGGCAGTTGACTATTGTTGATGGTAGGTATTTTCCATAATGACAGATGTACTTTATAGTCTATGGAATATGGACCTATTTATTTCTATTGATATAAGAGATACGAGTACAATTTATATCTTTGGTAGTTACTACCGCCCTTCTGGATATAAACACTTACGAGGAAATAATCCTTTTAAGGACAAAAAGTAAAAATTTAATTTGAAATGTGCCAGACAAAGTCTACTATAACATTGTATAAATAAATAGAATAAGGGCCTGCCCCACCACTGGCTGATAGAGGCTCAGATAGCTTAATAATGACGTCACTCTGAGATGAAAACAAAATCCGACATTTCCATTACATATTTTACACGTTGGACTGTCACCAGACAATTTACAATTCGGTGGGACAGGCCTTAAATATTCCGAGATAAGCATCTAACTTTAATCCTAATTGGTAATTACATCAAATCTATTTTTTAATATTAATACTCTGTGCTTCTTTGTTGACTATATGTAGTAGTAGTAGGGGCTACGGTTTCCGCAACTCCACGACTAGCGCGTATTTTGCGTTGACTATATGTATTGTACGATAATTGCTTATTGGCTGTTTGTTATGCAATACGTGAGACAATGTGTAGGCCTGCGGTTTGTAACGTCCTGCTAAACTAATGCAATTGTAATATAAATAAATACTAACCTTGTATTTTTTACAATGAACAAATTTAACCATGACGCCATCTGACGTTGAATAGAGATATAGTCAAACAAGGATGTGTAGCTCTAGACGTGTGAGAAAAAGAAAGCGAGTCAGGGAGAGAGAGGGAGAGAGAGAGAGAGCGAGAGAGAGGATGGCATATAAAATGGCGCGAAATAAAAGAAGGACGCACCAATCCGGTAATAATAACGAAGTAACGGCTCGTTCCGAGACGCTAGTTGCTCATAAACGAGGTTTAGGCTAAGCGCCATCTGCGCTCGGCCACCTCAAGCCCGGTGAATCTGTAAATGCCTCATCAAGTGGCCATTCAGTCACCAAAAAAAAGAAGGACGCAGCGCTAATGAAGTAACCTCATTTAGTTTCACATGACTTATGATTGCCGGGTCAAATATTGATAGGTTAGTAGTATATTTACCCTACTTTTAGATACTTACGTCACATTTTGTTTCGTTTAAAACTATCACAGTATACAATAAATCTGTTTGACAATTTAAATTATTAATTTATTTGAAAACATGTCTTTTCTAGATAAACTTAGGTCAGGTCACCTCTATCGTATACTGATAAAACAATTGAAACCATAAAACGAGTTTTTAAAAGGCAGTATCGTAATTATGTAGATATGTAACGTTATTGTT